ACAATGAAAAGTTATACTTCATATAAAAATACATTTTAAAAAATTAAGTACTAAACACATGTGATGTCGTTATTTTCTAGTCTAAAATTAACTAATAGAGATACAATAGTAAAATACTAAAATGTATATAAATCTTCCCTTTCATTATTGTCAACCTACCAATACCTTAAACTTGTTCTTGAAAAACCATGGTGCCATTATGTAGTGATATTACACCCTTTATATCTTACCTAAAGCATATAGGGTATCATTTACCATGATTTTAGATATATATAAATTTCGAGCATTATGCTTCTTGATGCAATGGCCACTACTGCTTAAAGGTTAACGGTAACTGTTGTAGAAAAAAATTCCTTCTGGGCCTGGGGTGGGGGTGGGGTATGGGGCTTGAGTAAAAGTCTTGTTTGGGTTGAATTGGTGGTTGGAGTATTTACAAGTAGATAAAATCACATTCTGAATGACAGGGAGTTCATCCAACTCCAGGGAATCATTTAAACATGGTATGTGGGAGACATGGGTATCACACTGACACACTCCATTCCTGAGCATAATGATATCCTCCATAATCAATCCCTTAAAGCCTTGGGGGGCGTTAATAAAAGTCTTGTTTGGGTTGAATTGATTGTCGGAGACTCAAAGTTATTTACAAGTAGATAAAATCATATTCTGAATGACAAGGAGTTCATCCAACTCCAGGGAATCATTTAGACATGGTATGTGGGAGACATACTGACATATAATGCTGCTATGTTCAGTATTTGATAAAACCTGGAAATTATCTGATTCCTGGGGATTTCCTAATCCAAGCATGATGATATCCTCCATAATCAATACCACGCCAAACCAGACGAAGCCTTTGAGGGTGGTACCATCCCAAGCTTGTAGTTGAAGTATGTGCATAAAAAATACAAAAATGATATTTGTACCCACTCTTATACCCACTTTTGTACCCAGCTATGTTTGTGAAGGTTTTTTTGTGTCTGTGAACCCCCGGTTCACAGACAATGTTTTGCACAGACAAAATATTGTCTATGAACCGGGTTCACGGACAAAAAAAATCTTCACGAATATGGTGGGTATAAAGTGGGTATAAGAGTGGGTACATCAAGCATTGTTGAAATACAAAAATGACAACGAAAATCAGTTGATAGCCAATGAGCAATGCATAACAAATCCATTTACTGTAGAATTATTGTTTTCATTTTTGTTCATCAATATGTGGTATGTTTTTTTCTTTTACTCAGTATAAAACACTTCGTGATTTAAGCGCAAATTGCAGGCCCTGTTTAGTCTAAGGGTAGAGCAATTGATAATTCCTGCTGTATCTGACCATATTCATACCTGGACTGAGGTGTTTGGTTTCAAAAAACTTGAGGAACGACACAAGCTTGAAGTGAAATCCATGAATATGTTGGTGTTTCCAGGAATTGATATGTTACAGAAGTGGCTAGTGAAACGAGAATCATCAGCAGGTATAATTCATCCATTACATGGTTTATATTTTTTTACTCATTCAACTGTTGTGATTCTAGGCTGAATGATAGGCCCAATGTTATTGTTTAATTCTGATAATTCATCTTGTTATTGTGGGTCTATTTTAATTCACTTTTGGGAATTAATGACTAATTTGGACTTGACTTACTTCTTTTAATAGGAAGGGATGAAATTGGAAGGAATTTGAACTCTTAGAGCCAAATTGCAAGAAGTGGCTAGTTGAAGGATAAAAAACTTCAAATCAGCACCATAGCCATCTTGATGTGCCGTATACTCTGACCAGCGAAATTTCAACCTTGGTCGAAATTAATTGTGGTAGCCGATGGAGATTAACTTCCCAAATTTGAAGACCTGAGAATCTGCCCAATTCGTCCTATAAACACAGCAGCACAGCAGCAGTAAAGAGGGGGGAGAGAGCGGAGGTGAAAGAGGAGAGAAAGAAAGAGGAGTTCAGCCGCTTCATCAATCATCTTCGATTTTTCATTCTCTATTAATTACTCGTAGTTAGTTTAATTCCAGAATTTCTAGTTCTTGTATATCAATTTCAGAACTTTTACTTTCATGTTTATGCTATCGAGAAGTGATTTTTTCTGTACTTTGAGTATGATTTTTGTCTAGACTTTTACCCAAGAGGTTTGGGATTAAAGCTTGATATTAAGTGATTATTTCTTGTGTTGAATTCCTTGCATCACTTCAATTGACAAATTATTTTTCTCACATTAAATTTATTTTATGTATTTTTCAAGCGAATTTTGCATAAGAGCTCCGTCCTGGGCCCGGTCAGTCCTGGTTCTAAATAATTGAAGCGTGGTACCGACCCGATTTGGTCCGGTATCGGTTCCAGTCTGGGTCCAAACAACACCAGTCCTGGCCTCCTGGGTCAGTACCCACCCTCTAATTAAAAAATAAATAAAATATGTCAGTTGGGACAGGAACTAAGTACTAAGAATTCATGCTCGAAGCCTGACCCTTTTCTACCATGGTCCGGGTACTGGGTCGGTACTGGTATTGTAAAACCGATCCTGGGTCGAGCCGCCCAGACCTAGTCCATCCCTAGCACCGACATGCGATGGGTGAGCATGATACTCGAACTAGTAAAATAAACACAATTCGCCTAACTAGACATAGTTGGGTATGTAATTGAGGTGGATTTCGATCGTTGCTTTTTGACTAGTTAAGTAGTGTTCAATTGACGGGTTAGCACTCGCTTAGCCGATACATGCTAGTATCTCGATAGAGTATTAGCATTTTTTAGAACCAATTGCCACATAGAATTTTCTATTGATACCAAGTGTATAACCCGAATCCCGATGGCTGTTTTATCTATTGTTTACTCAAGTCTATCACATGTGCTTCAAACTTGACCTAAGTGTACAAGTTGACTTCATTTAGGAATCCATTCTGTTGTTTCAGTGTAAATGTAATTCCCACTTTCCCAGAGTGAAGAAAGTGGCCTTTTGTAGTTTTAATAACTCTGTGCTGAATATGGTTGCTCTTCGCCACTTCTTGATTCAAGATATAAACACCAACACAAACCAGTTTTCATTACCTTTTTTCCCGGCAGCATTAGATGCCAATGTCTAAGAATTATTCCTCCTCTTGCACCATTAGCAAACCAACTCTATTTGCTCACTCACATCAAATGTTGTACACTAAAATATGCAAGTATTTGAAAGTTCAAAGGAGAGGATCTGCTAATTTGTAAGTAAAATAGAAAACAAATCTAGGCATTATATAAGGACAACGAAAAATATGGAATATATCATCACTAAAAGTTCCGTGATCTGTTTTGGCATAAGGGTCTTTCATTTGGATTATTATTTTCTCGTATGGTCTAATTTGGTGCGTTTAGGTCGGGTTTGGTCTAGTCTATATAAATCTCATACGGTCACTTTAGATTTGATGTTATTTTGTAGTTTATTATTACTCCATATTATTTAATGTTGGTCTTGTTTAATTTGATGAGGTTCAATCGACTTAAGTTTGTTCAATTCTTAATAACTTGAATTTCAAATTTTTATGCTCTTGTTGATAAAGAAGGGTTATTGATGGTACAAGACATAGGCAAAAGTAAAGTTTATGGGGTGGGTAGATTTTAAAGTGTTTTTGCTAAATTTCTCTCTCTAAAATTCTGTTCATGGATTTTTTGGGAAATCTTCAAACTGTCACTTAAGTGTTACCTCTTTAAATGTGGCACTTCATTTCTGATTCTTTAAAGAATGAGTGTTAATAAGGAAAATATATATTTATTCAAAAAAAATAAGGAAAATATATTTTTGTATTCTGGTCATCTGGTGGAAGTATATATATGACGAACAAGAAACTTCTGTTAAAAAATGTGAGTGATATCGATAGAATTAGTTAGGGATGGCCCAGCCCGGCCCGCCACTGTGCGGGCCCTAGGTCCAACCCGGGGGGTTGGGTGGGGCAGTTCAGGGCTACCCTATCCTTTGGTACCAGCCCGGCCAGGCCTCTTTTTTTTGTTTTTTTTTTGTTTTTTTTAATGTTTTTTGTTTTTCCCGAGTTGGGGTGGGTGTTTGGGGGGCAGGGGGTCGGGGGTTAATTAGAAAAGCAAAAAAAAAATTGAACAGGCCTGGAGACCGGACCGGACCCGGTGGAATCCCGGGCCGGCCGGTTCCGGGCTCGTAGCCAAACCCAAAAAGCCCGCCCAGAACCGGTCCGGGACCGGTCCATGCCTAGAATTAGTTATATGGTCACTCAATATAATAAGAGTGGTTATATGAAACTCGAAAAATGGCAAGGAAATCTAGCTGGTAAAATAACATAAACCCGGTCTAAAGCCATGCTAATAAATCTCGGTATGGAATAGTTCTGCTAGGTGTAAGTCTTTGATATACGATAGTAGTAAATTGCAACTATTGATTCAGAAGGAATTAAACATATTATGAGGTGGTTCATGCAGTCACACTTCTCATTCAAAAAAATTGGCATGGCAAAATTTACAATTGAAAATGTATAAATCAAGTAACAAGAGGGATCCAAAAGTATTACAACAACAACATCTAACCATTGGTTCCAAAATAGTTTGAAATTTCAAAGCGATAAAATAATACTCCGTACTTTAGAGCGTTACTACATTTTTACATTATTGATTATGATGAAGCAAATAAGCAATGTACGCTATTATTACTTCAATATAAAAGTGTGTGCATGATATTTTAATCTTCCAACTAGCATGTACTACCTCCTTCCCTTTCATATTGGAACGGATGAGGGTGACACGAGTTTTAAGAAAAGTGAGTTTGTGTGGTTGATATTAATTGATAAAGTAAGAATAAAGTAAGAATAATTTTGAGCCACACAAACTTTATCAAATAAGTTATATGAAAATTAAATAGGGACATCCCAATATGGTAAAACGGGACATTTAAAAGGGAACGGAGGGAGTATGAAACAACCATTAATGAATCTCACATGTCTATTATTAACCCCACATACTATTGGGTGATTAAAATTATAACTCACCTTAATGGTTATTATTAAGGTATATATAAATATGAAACATCACATAAACATAAACGTTTAATTCCTCAATGGAGGTTCATATGGTTGTGTGTATTGGGTATAATACACACAACCACAATCATTAATTAATCTAAAAAAGCATCATATCTCAATCAAATTCATGCAAGATGGCATGGATTTGGAAATGCTTGATGCTTTTTCTTGTGTTGTTTGGAGATCATGTCATTGTGGATTGCTTTATAGGCATCAATTGGGGTAGATCGGCATCACAAAACTTGGTGCCGTCAATGGTGGTGGATTTGCTTTTACAAAACGACATCCCCAACCTTAGAATATATGGTCCTAAGCCTAGCATTCTTGTCGCCTTTGAAGGCAGCCCCACCGCCATTGCCGTCACCATAATGAAAGACTTTGTCATGAGGAAGAAATGGACCAATGTCAAGAGCATGGATGACATGCTCGAAAATCTCATCATCCCGCCCATACAAAGAGGTGTTAACATTCAGTAAGCATATCCGCATCCATATATCACTACAAAAAATCATAGTTTTTTTTTAAGGGATTTGCCGAAATTCAATAAGGATTTAACAAGGATATGCTAAATTCGTGCCAAAAACATGTTGAAATGAGCTTTTGGCACCAAATCCATATCAAATATTGTCTCATGTTAAAAACTTGTCTCATGGTGCCCGAGTGATGTTGGACATGTCAACCGCAATATCATTTTCAATGATCTGTTAATATTTCACCAAAGAAGCTAAGGATGTTTGAATTAGCATACCTAAAGTTATTTTGTGGACATGCTTTAATTGCACATGAAAGATACACTTAAGGTTATATTCTGAAGGAGTTGGTCGAATGTGAAGTCTATTGTCTGAATTAGAGATCATGTTCTGAATTAGGACGGAAGCCGTTAAAACTAGAATGTTAGGTGAATGAAGTACATTCATTTGATTACATATATGAAATGATGACTAAAAATGTTTTAAAAAAATAGTAGCTAGGATATGTTTTAAAAGAGGCATAAGCTTATATAGTAAATTACTCCGTATAAGGCTGAATTAAAACGCTGAAATTAGTAACATTTCAAATCTGATGATTGTTCTTAAACTTCTTATATTCCATCAACTTCATCTTTCATATAAACATGAATACATATCACGTAATTGTTTAAATGGATTAAACTCAAAATTAATGAAAGTTACATTATAGACCAGGGGCGGATCCAGGAATGAGGGGTGGGGTGGGCTAAGCAATAAAAATTTTCGTTACTGTATACAAAAGGTTTAGCTTAGGGCTGATAGTTATTGAACTGAGTTTTTTTTCCCCGAACTACTCGAGTTCGATCGTGATTTTGAATTTAATTTAATGACCAAATCTTAACGAGCTTCAATCTCGAACACGGGCTAAATTTTAGTTTAAATAGTTTGTTTTTACAAAAAAAGCGGCCGTTATTTTTTTGAGTTTGAATAATTATTCAAGCTGAATTCGAGCATAGTCATGTTCAGTTCGATCTGGACTCGAGCATATTGATAACTTATAAATTATAGAAATAAACTATATACTACCTCCGCCCACTATTATTAAGACTAATTTGGCTTTGAAGTCAAAGAAGTTAAACTCTGAATGACTATATATTTATCCAATAAAATTGATAATATGAAAATGAAATGGAAATGTTCTTTGTTAAAAAGTTTTTCATAAAAGTATAAATTTAGTAAGTTTCACATTAATACATGAGTTAAAATGATGGATCAAAGTTTACCATCTTTGACTAAAGAGTCAAAGATGGCTAAAAAAACGAGACAGAGGTAGTATATCTAAAATTTAAACGTTTTTAGTGTGATTTATAATTTTATTATTGATTATTAAAGATTTTAGTATTTATTGATATGTATTAAAATACTTCTATAAAATATAAAACTAATAAGTAAAAATAGTCGATGTACATAAATCTAATAAGTATTCCCAATTTTAAAATTGAATTGAGATTTTGAATCCATTCTTACATGCCTAAACAGTAAATACATCGTTCTCTATTCTTTAATTGCATAATAAATAAATCATTTTCTAATCTTTAATTCTATCTTTAATCATTATAAATTTATAATAAATAAAAACTATTTTACTATCTACTGAAAAAATTCAAATAATAATCAAATAGAATTACAAAGTTGGTAGGCTTGGGCTGGGCTATACATTAATTTTGAGGTGAGCTGGAAATTAAACATATACCTATAATAATAAAAAAAATAAATTGGGTTGGGCTGGGCTGGAGCCCACCCCTGCCCCAACATAGATCCGCCCATGTTATAGACTAGCCTAAACTAAAGGGTTACCCAAGCTATGTAGCACGGAAACTCTTAAAAAAGAGTACGTTTCTGTTTCGAAAACTCTACCAAATTTCTTTGAAAACTTTCTAAACAATCGTTTTTGAGCAAAAGTTATTTTCGCGCCAGTTTTTTCCGTTTGCTCGTGATTTTCACGTTTTGACTCTTTTAGATGTAAACATTTCATTTTCATCAATGTTATTTTAAAATGCCAACTATAATTTTCATTCTTGTTTCCAGGACTTTGATTATAGTTCATGAGCCGTTCACTATGGTAAGACCAATACTCTGGAATATAACGGACGTGTTCAGACAGACTCGGGCATCACTGGACAATAACAACCTTAAGTACATCAGGACGACGACCAGTCATTTCACCGACGTGATAACCATGACGAAGAAGCCGTCGGAGGCCGATTTCCGGCCAGACATCAAAGGGACGATGATGGGGTTACTGGAGATAATCAACAAAACCAACTCCTTCTTCACCTACAACATATTCCCGATCACTTCTGTCGAGCAATACAAGTGGCCCATGGAATTCGGGTTTATGGATAACAAGTCCAATTTCACCGTCGTCGACGGCGCGTACACTTACACGAACGCTTTCGAGTTCTTATTCGACGCGCTAGTCGTGGCCTTGGAGAAGGCGGGGTACCCGGACATGGAGATCCAGATCGGGCAGATCGGGTGGCCGACGGACGGATCCAAGGACGCCACCGTCGAGAACGCGGAGCGGTTCTACCGGAGCTTCATCCCGCACATCGTGAAAAACAGGGGAACGCCGCGGCGGCGGAACATATCGATCGATGTGTACCTCAATTCTCTCGGAGACGAGAACCGGAACATCATAGAGTACGGCGCGTATCAACGCCACTTCGGGATCTACGCGTACGACGGATCTCCCAAATTCCCGATCGATATCTCGGGAAATGGCCGGACGGTGTACCCGACGGAGGCGAAGGGGACGGTGAAATCGCCGTCACGGTGGTGCATTTTCAAAGGAGACATGAGCAATAAGGCGTTGGTGGAGGCGCAAGTGGCGGCGGCGTGCAATATGTCGGACTGCACGGAATTGCTTCCCGGCGCGTCGTGCGGACGCATCGGCTACGCCGACCGGGTCTCGTATGCTTTCAACGCGCTGTATCAAATACAGAACCAGGAGAATCAGGCCGGAGCTTGCGAGTTTGCGGGGTTGGGTGCGTTGACGCCGATCGATCCCTCGATCGGAGAATGCAAATACCCGGTGGGGATTTTGACGGCGGAGACGGTTGATGGCGGTATTCAATTGGCAGAAAACGTTTTTAATTATGCTCTTAATACTGGCATTAGCTCTTCTGCTTCACCTGCATGTAACATTTCATTAGAACAAGTGTTTTTTGTTCTACCCATGTATATAATCTTCCTTGTTTTGATCACTAAATGACAATTTTTGTTTGTAGTTTTTTTTACTTCATTGTTTGCTGCTGCAAATCTGAACATTCTCACTACTCCGTATATTTTAAGGGTTTATTCAGCCCTAAGCATGACTAATTCAAAACGAATGGAACAAAAAAAAGATTATCCCCTTTACTGCTAAATAAATACTTTGTATCCAACAACAAAAGACCTCTTTTACAAATAATTTTTCTTTTGAAAAATAGGCGATAATTGAAGAAAAAATTCAAGTGTAGAGACAAAGTTCGTACATCGTAGCATGGAAGTCAATACTAGTCAAATACGACGAGAAAGTATACACAGAAAGAAAACAAATTTCTACATACTTCCCCAAATATGAATACAAAAATTAGGAGTACAAATTTAGGATGAATGGTTAAATAGGCCCGTGAACTCATACTTAATTCAAGTTCGAATTTGTTCACCTCTTACTTAGAGGGTGAACATGACCCCCATTTATTTTAATATTAAAAGTACATTGAAAAAGTAGGGGTCATTTCGTTGCTTTATGCACATACTCTTCACCCGTATGTACAGTTTGGTTTTAGAAATGAAAATTGGGGTGTAGGGCCAGTTTCTTTTTTAACCATATCTTTCAATTTATTAATATTGTAAATTCTATTGTTCCTCCACCACCCATTTTCCTTACTTCCAAACTCAATCTGCGAATTCCCTGTTGTTTCGTTCATATTTCCTTTGGCAACTGGTAGAGATGATTGTACACACCTTCGTACGCCGGCGATAAGGTATTTCGATCACTACCTTAGTTCCATAATTGTGAAGGATGCCTTTAACTTAATTGATATTTCATTTTGCAGTTGACACCAAAAGTTTAAGACATTATATCACTCATCTTCATTCTTAAAAAACTCTTATTGAATGTATTTGCCAAAAATAGTTAATTGATTAAGTGTATTTTGTGTTGAAAAATTATGTACTACGAGGTAAATTAGGTATACACATTTTAATTTGTTTCATAGGGTTTTTAAAATTTTATGGTGAATTGTTATCCCCTTTTTAGATTTGCAGTCTAGATCAATTGTCATGAATATTCCAGACTTGAATTTTGTTGTGAGTGAAGACACTCCCAATCTTAATGAAGAATACGAAAGTTTAAATAATTAGCTTTTGGAAGAAAGCAATATTGCAATGGAACCTGAAATTGGAATGGTCTTTGGCAGTACAGTGCTGAAAATGCTTACAATTTTTATAACTCATATCCAAGGAGGGTTGGTTATAGTGTGAGGATTTTCCAAACAAACAAAAGCGAATTGAAGTTGATAGGAAACTAATTCAACATCAAGTTTTAGTGTGTTCATGAGAAGGATTTTACAAGAAAGTGAAGACACCTCAGAACAAACAAGATGAGACACGTTGTAATTGCTAGGCATCCTTTGCATTTAAACGTGTTCCAGATAACAAGTACCAAATGATTGGTTTTGAAACAGTGCATTCTCATGACCTTGCACCACTTGAGCATGCGGGTTACTTGAGGTCTCAACAAAAAATTGAATTTACACAACCTGCATTGATAACAACAGTGCATGCATCCAGGATGAAGCAAGGACAAATTTTCTCATACATGTGTGTAGAAGCGGGTGGAATTTAGAATCTGAATTTTACAAAATCAGATTGCAATAACTTCCTTCAAAGAAGACGAGCTGAGTTTTTCAAGAAGGGTGATGCAGAATGTCTTCTAGAATACTTCAAGCAGAAGAAAAATGAGAACAAACATTTCTTCTATTCCTTCATAACCCATGAAGATGGTGAAATTTAATTTGTGGAGTATTTTTCTGTGATGCAAAATCTAGACGGTATTACGGGCTTTTTGGTGATACTATTTGTTTTGATACGACTTTTCTAACAAATAAATATGACATGTTGTGCACACCAATCGTAGGCTTACCATCACGGACAAACATCATTGTTTGGATGCGACCTACTAGATGGGGAAACATATGATGCAATTACTTGGTTGTTTACTACCTTTTTTTAGGCTATGGGAGGAAAGAAACCAAGGAGCATATTCACCGATCAGTTGGCTGCTATATCATCTGTAGTTGATAAGCTTTTGCCTCAATCCCATCATGGATTATGCTTGTGGCATTTGTGTCAAAATGCGGCAAAAAATTGATCGAGTTCTAATGGATACAAAACATTTTCACCACAATTCAAATCTTGCATTTATGATTCATAAACTGTTGAAGTGTTTGAGCAAAGTTGGAACAAGTTGCTTGAAAAAAATGGGCTTCAAGGTAATGAATGATTAAGGAGACCATATGAAGTGAGGAGAAAATGGGCTCAAGTATATAGTTGTTCTCACTTCTGTGCAAGCATGACCACTTCACAAAGAAGTGAGAATATCAGTAAATTCCTCAAGGACTACTTCACACTTGGAAGAATTGTGCTACAAGAATTTGTATGCATGTACTCAAGATCAATAAATGATATATTGTCGTGAAAAGGAAATGGAGGTTGGGCATAAAACAATCCAAACAAAACCAAACTTCATTTCTAATTAGGCAGTTGAATGTGAAGCAGCCTAAAAGTACACAAGAATTTTTTTTAATATGTTTCATCAAGGTGTTAAGAAAATCATTGATTTATCACTTGAGTTAGAGCATGATGACCAGAACTTGATTACTTATAAAGTAAGAAGATTGAAGGTTGTCAAAGGTTATCACTTGAGTTAAGATTGAAGATTAAAGTAAGAAGTTGGAAGAAATTGTGGCCTACTCATGTAGAAAGTTTGAGTTCCATGGAATTCTATGCTCACATGGGTTGAAATGGTTTCGCCACTTAGAGAAAAAAAGTTTGCCCCTCACTACTACTTGAAAAGACGGACAAGAGATGCTACATATCAAGATATTTGTGATCTCGAGGAAGAGATAATTCCAAATGATAGTGATCCAACTCTAACTACTTGATATAGTGAGTTATCACATATTTCACAAAGAATCATTTCCAAAGACTCTAGAAATATAGATGTTTTTAACGTGTGCAAGTCTCTTTTACTCAAGGTCAAAACAAATATTGACGAATATTCGCGTACAAACATAGATGAAAATAATTTGAATCTAGTCATGATTGGTGAACAGTCAACACCAAACCTCTTGGTAAATTGTCAATTGCGAGATCCAAAAAAAGGAAGAACGAGAACAAGCAAAAGAATTAAAAGTGCATTAGAAACAAGATCACGTAAGAAGGCTAAAAAAGAGTAAGTTACTGGTATCAATATATTTTGATGTGCATGTTCTTTTTATTCTTCTTATTTTAATGTGAAGACATTAGTTTTTAACAAAAAGTAATTAATCTTTAGAGGTGACTCATTGAGCCTCAATCATGCCATGGAGTTGGTAATCAAGGTTTATATTTTAACTATTTAGTTTTACAATTGTCTATCAATGATTGTATTTTGATTTTATTTCTTTTTTAGTAGATAAATTTTCAAGTGATCCCAACTAAAAGTTGTAGTAATAGAGGTTCAGAAAGGATTAAACAAACGGTTATACACCCGGGTGCAACAATACCAGTTCAAAGTGCTTTTCAACCATGGTATGTATTCTTGTCGGGTATAATTTTACTCGTCAAGGTAGAGTTTTAATATTTAAGTCAAGAAGAATTCATGTTTTTTTTTCCAGGTTTTAGATCAATGTCAAAATTATTTTTGAAGTTTCAGAGTACCATGTAAACAAACAATTCATGTTGTTATTTGAGGTAGACTTGCTTATGTGCATAGTATTATTCAGTTACATATCACCATTGACATAACATTAATTCTATTTTCACTAGATTTTTCTTGCTCTCCTTCATCCTTCTATATCCCACCCCTTCGTATACCCCGGCGGCTCCAGTTTGGTAAATCATACAATATTCATTTCCTTTTGGGTATAAAGAAGAGGGGGTTTAGCAAATAATAGTTTCTATCTTCTTCTCGATTATCGCCGCTTGGGCGCTGTTAAAGATGCACTTACTAGAGCTGATCGAAGTAGGTTCGAATGGTGAAGTCTCGTTCAACTATTCTTTGATAAGAGAGCTCTCATTCCACCACCTTTCAGTGAAATTGCCTACCCCGAAGGTGAACGAGTTGAAAGGGGGAGCGGCATCTAGTGGTAAATAAGATTCGTCTTTTACTCTTTCTGTTTGTGCATTTATCTTAATTCAATGGTGTATAGTAGGCTAATTCTTTAAAATTAATATGTTATAAGTCAGAAGAAGTGATATGATTCTTTACCTTGCTGCTCTACTGGTAATTTTCTCTGTTTGAAGTTTCCCATTTCCCTTATCCTGCAAGCGACAACTGTATTATCGTAATTTCATTTGATCGATTTTTCAGGTTTTTTATTCATCTCAGGGGTTAAAGGTGAAATGAGATTCATAATTTGAAGAACAAAAAATGAGAATGTGAATAGTTTTGATCGACTTTATAAGGGCCTCTTTCAAAAGAATTCCGTTTTTTGGGGTATTTGAAAGATATCATAAGTGGGCTATGGAATTTTTGGCCACATTTCACTGACATACATTGGATGTTGAGTTTTTCGTGAAGAAAGGGTGTATAGCAATTTTAAGAAGCAGACAGTAGCATACGTGAAACAAGCAGTTGAGGAAGATAATGCTGGGAATTATGCAAAGGCATTTTCTTTGTATTTGAATGCATTGGAATATTTTAAGACTCATTTGAAGTATGAGAAGAACCCAAAGGTCAAAGTGGCGATTACCCAGAACATCCAAATGGCTGATGAAAGTGCTCCATCCATTATCTTTGTAGATGAAATTGATTCATTACTTGGCCAACGAGGTGAAGGCAATGAGAGTGAAGCTTCAAGAAGTATCAAAATTGATCTCCTTGTACAGATGCAAGGTGTTGGGCATAATGGTGAAAAGGCTCTTGTTCTTGCGGCGACAAATACTCCTTAAGCACTAGACCAGGCTATTAGGAGGCGGTTTGACAGAGAATATATATTCCTCTACCAGATATGAGGGCAATACAGCATATGTTAAAGGTACATCTGGGTGATACTCCTCACAAGTCACAACCTTACAAAAAGTGATTTTGAGCAACTAGCTATAAAAACAGAAGGTTTTTCAAGTTCTTGCATATCTGTATGCGAAAATGAAGTTTTGTTTGAACCGGTATGCAAAACTCAAGATGCCGAGTTCTTTATCAAGACTTGTAATGAACTATGGGTGCCATGTGGACCGAGGTACCCAAGTGTCAATCAGACAAATATGCAAGAGCTTGCAGCTAAAGGCTTTAGCTTCAAAGGTCCTTTGATGTTTTCTTTGACTATCTTAAGTTTAATTATTGGTTAATCCTTTATTTTTTCAGTACTTTAATATCTAAGCCATTGATTTTCTATATTATGTTTATTTTTTGAGTAAACAAGCCCTTCAAGAAATCTACTTTTGTACCATAGTTATATAGTCACAAAACTGAGAGATTTATGCTAGACATTATACTTTTAGTTATACATTTTAACACCCCTAAGATTTTGTCTGTTTCCAAATTCATCTCTTTTTAGTATTTAATCATCTCTTTCTTTACTAACACCCTACGAATAAACTTATAGTTATCTTTAGCTATTACTATCCTTTCACATAGTTTGGTTCTTACATGACTTGCATGAATCAAACATAATTTATTTTGATCAAGTAGGCTAATTCCAGACTGCACTTATCAACTGCAGTCACCTCCACATGATTTTGTTGCATTCTCTCTTTTTATGGTCAAGGCCTTTCTCGCTAGGCAACACATCCAATTCTAAAGTGCTTTTTTAACCCACGTCCCCCTTAGTTGCTACAAGACAAATACAATTAAGGCTTTCTAAATGAGATTGAGTTGCTAGCTAGAAAGTTGCTATTTGATGCTATTATATCTATTTGTCTATGAAGGTTCAAGAAAATATTAATTTATAATGAAGAAATGATACACAAATCCGGTTTAGATGTACATATACTTATTATTATTATTATTATTATTATTATTATTATTAGTATTATTATTATTATTATTATTATAGGGTGACTAATTTAGAATTTTATATAATTAGTCATATGATTAATGTAATTTTCATAATTTAAGTTATTTTAATTTGAAAGTTAATTTTTATAATTCAGGTTTTTGGTATTAGAGTTGGTCATAGTTAGAAAGATTAAATCAGGTCAGTTTGGGTGAAATTTTCACAATTCATACTTCTTTTTCAAATATACATAAATGTGCTTTAACTTCATAAAATTATGTTGTAACACCGCCCCCAAGTATTTGTACTTTATCAAATTATGTATTGAACCCAAGAAATGAATAAACGCATTTTACGTGATTGTGAAATTTTATCAATTCTTTTACGTGAATAGTAAAATTCACGTGGGGCCCACACCGGGAGCGGGGGCCGCCCGATATTATCGGGACCACATATTATATTCATTTGGGTCAAGATAATATGTGTATAATGGTGGATATCCTTGCTGGGCCATAGAAGTTATGTGAGTAACCTTTTTGGCAAATAAAGCCCATTTATCGGTACCGGTGTACTGACAGATAAAAGCCATAATAAATTATGGATACCGCTAAATTAAAAGTTGGGGGATGTACACTCATTCTTACATCCAATAATAATTGGAAGAATGATAGATATTTCATTTTACCCGATAAAATGAAACATAGTTAAAACAGTCCGGAAAATACAACTTTCGGGACCGAGTGTACACTCGGGGACACAAAGGGATGACCACCCATCTAAGTGGGGGCCATCCCCACGTTTTAGTCTTGCAAATGCCCATGGGAGCCGCACAAGGACATGGAGAAACAAGGAGGAAAATTGATTGAGAGCTCAATCAATTGGAAGGTGGGACCCTTGCCATAGTATTATTGTGAGAGATGCCAAAATGGCATTCTCAATCACACCAACTAATCCCATTCGTATCCAGCATCAACCAAGTGAGAGAAGCTCATCAAAATCTCCATTTTCATCCACCATATTCGAACCAAAGCTTAAGGAGAAGAAGGAGGGGGAAGAAAAGAGAAAGAAGGAGGAAAACTTGAGGATTAACAAGGTAATAACTCCATTAATCTCATCCCTGTTCATTAACCTTCCAATATGATTATATGATCATATTTCACACCCCTAGGACCATTCTACATGTTATATGGGAAGAATGAAGGGTTGGAAGGTTGGTTCATATCCAAAACGGATTTAGAGAACAAAGTTGACCGGTTCGTCGGAAAATAACCTTTTAGAGGTTATTTGTGTTGATATGGGTTTTATGATGATAAAACCTTGTTGTTAACTTGTATAAGGTACTTCAAGGACTTTCACGGAGTTGAAAGGGTCGCCGGAGTGTCGCCGGAGTTCGTTGAAGTTCACCGGAGTTTCACCGGAGCTCAATAAGAAAGGCTAGAACTTCATAAGCTTCTTTTGAGGTGAGAAGACGGCTATATGCCTTATAACTTTTGATTGAGGCATGAGATTACCTAAAGTAATCAAGGATATGTTTTACGGAATGATTAAAGTTAATCAAGTATGAGCTTATGTCATGAATATATAACAAACAAAGTTGAAAGGCATGTTTGTATGTTTGGTGATTACAAATGTGATAACTTATTATGTACAATGATCCAGGGGTCAAAAATGGTATTTTTGGATCAAGGACTTCAAGTAGAATGTGCATATAAAATTTCACGTTAATCGGACTTCGTTTGGGCGGTCAAACGGGCGTTGACCGCCGAGACAAGGGTGATACCCGACCGGGTAAGATGGATACCCGACCGGGTATTGATTAAAAATGGCTCCAGAAGCCACTGCCACACTAGACCCGACCGGGTAAGGTCATGGACCCGACCGGGTCTCAAGTAAAGTTGTTTCCAGGGGCTTCTGACCCGTCCTACCCGACCGGGTAAGGTGGATACCCGACCGGGTATTGGTTTATACTCAAAACGGGTAGCTTTTGAGTAGGATAACGTGGACCGATCAGGTGGGACCCGTCCACGTTGGTTACTAAGGATTATTATATGACTATAGGACTAGGTATTGTCCATAGTTAAGTGAATGAAAGGTTAGCCATATCCAGGTTAGGGTTTGGTTAGAAATAAGGGTGAGGTTGAGCATCCTCGGGACGGTAAATGATCCCAAAACTCGGAGAGGTTGAGTATCCTCAGGACGGTAAACAATCCTAAAACTCGGTGAGGTTGAGTATCCTCAGGACGGTAAACAATCCTAAAACTCGGTGAGGTTGAGTATCCTCAGGACGGTAAACAATCCTAAAACTCGGTGAGGTTGAGTATCCTCAGGACGGTAAACAATCCTAAAACTCGGTGAGGTTGAGTATCCTCAGGACGGTAAACAATCCTAAAACTCGGTTGAGGTTGAGTATCCTCGGGACGGTAAATGATCCCAAAACTCGGTTGGGGTTGAGTATCCCCGGGACGGTAAACCCTCCTGAAACTCGGTAGGATATTATGAAGGTAGAATGTAGCTCTCAAGCTAGGCATTCAGGAATGGAAAGGAGATAGGTTGGGAAAGTACCTTATCTCTAAAAGACTCTTTGTGATAAAACGACCTACGGGTCAAGTATTTTACAAGTATATATACATTATGTATTATCTTGGGAATGGGGTAACAATGGTTACACCTATAAGCATATGTATCACCCTATTTTTGGGTCTCGTGTCTGAAACATTAGTTATTCCTCATATAGCCTGCTTGTCACTAGTACTTCTATGGAGTACTGACCCCTTCGGGGGCCCTCACATTTTTCAGGTTGAGGCTAGAGTCCTACTACCTGCACCTTCGCCAAGGGTGATTGATCAAAGAGGAAGACGTGGTTCGTGCTTCCATTCTTATTCAAAGTTTATAAACTGCTCATGGATGTTTTTAACAATGTTTTCCATTAAAACATTTGAGGGGCCTGCGTGTCCGTATTTGCCACGTGTGGCTAAGTATCAAACATATCTTATTTTCCGCATTCGTTGACTAATATATATTGATGTTGATTGTATGGGTTTACTAATCGGTTTGGCAATAGAACTCAACGGACGCCTTGTATGATTCAATAAGAATGAACTACGTTGTTCTTATTGGGTTGTACGGCGGTTGTCTACGTGGCACGGATGCGGTCCGGGGCGTGACAATTAAGTGGTATCAGAGCCATCGATTTCTAAACTATATAATTAACCTCTCAATATAGTATCATCAAAAAAGTTTTGAACAAAACCATGAGCAAAAGTTTTTGTACTTAAGGAACCGTTGGAAACCAAGTTATTGACCTCTTATTGTTAAGACGGTACCCTTAACAGTTTGTTGGCCATAATATTGGACCAAGTGGTGTCTTTTGCACTATTCTGTCAATTGACATTGATACGAGTCTAACGACTCATTCCAAATTTCTTTCAGAAATGGAGGGTAGACACATGGCTACGAGGAACAACCCGAGAGGGCAAACTCAGGCGACGTCCGTAGGGGCCAGCCAGGTTGCATCTCGGGGTGCGAGAGGCGGTAGGAGAGGCCGTGGAGGCCGTGGAGGCCGTGGAAGCCGTGGAGGTCATCAGGCTCAAACCGTGAGCGATGGCCATGTTAGCTCGGTGCATGGGACTCACACCGAGGATTATGACTCAACATATGTTCCCGAGACGGAACATGAGGAGACCCCATATGATGGGGGTGATACGTACACTGATGATGACAATGATGAGAGTGATGCCAAATTCGCCCAGATGGGTGAATTGTTTGAGTGGTATCAAAAGGAAAAGCTGAGGAGAGATCTTAGGCGCCAAGCTAGGCGTGCCTCTCAGGGAGGTTCGGGTCAGGGAAGCCGGGGGGCTTCAGTGGCCATCCCTGTGGCGACACAGGGGGTACAGGGGGGAGGTTTCTGTGTAAGAATCTCCAAATACCTCAAGGAGGCGAGGGCCTTGGGGTGTAAGTCATTTGATGGCAAGGGTGATATATCGGTGGCTGCCGACTGGATCAAGAAATTGAATGAGGCTGCTAGGGATATGCAGATCGGGCTTGACATAAAGCTAACGATTGCTACCAGGCTACTAGAGGGGGTAGCTGCTGTATGGTGGGAAGGCGTGGAAGGAAAGTTCCACGGTGAGACCACCTGGGAGAAATTTGAAGTAGAATTCTATAATCAGTACTACTCAGAGTTCGAAAAGAACCAGAAGAGGAAGGAGTACATGACCCTGGTACAGGAGGAGGATTGCTCGGTGAGGCAACTGGAACAAAGGTTCCGGGACTTGGCACGGTACATACCCGAGTACGCCATGGATGAGAACCGTATGGCTAATCACTTCTGGGACACCCTACACTTGGATATCCGTGATCGGGCTACCTACAATCATCACATGACCTTTAGTGAGATTGTGGATCAGGGGCTACTTGGGGAAGCCAAGTGGAATGAAAGGAAGAAGAGAGACGCCGAAGAGGCGAAGAAGAGAAGATGGGGGAATTCTGGACCCCAAGACCATTCTCGGAAACATCACGCCGGGAATGGAAGATCATTCAGGGCGCCGGAACCACCGGCAAAGAAGAGTAAGGGCCCAGGAGGGCAAGGGCATAGCTCGGGGAGCGTGAGGCCACCAAGGTGTCCAAACTGTAACAGGAATCACTCCGGGAAGTGCAATGAACCACCCCGGTGCTACAAGTGTGGTAGCACAAGCCACCTCAAACCCTCTTGCCCAATGTTGAGTGGAGGTGGGCCATCGGGAGCTGTGGAGGCACCTACGTCTGGAAGGGGTCGTGCAGGACCATCTCAGGGCGGCACGGGAAGGGGCGGACCTACGGCAAGCAATGCCGCGTCCGTTAACCAAGGTAGGACCCAGGCACGAGTGTATGCAATGACCGAGGCGGATGCGCGAGCAAACCCGGACTCCGTTGCAGGTAATATACTAAAATTTTATATGTTTCTAGGCTTATACTAAAGATATAAGTCCTAAGGGTCAATTGCAAACTGACTTAAGGTCGAATCGGGGGGAATTCAACGAAACCAGGCTGATACCCGACCGGGTAAGGCAGGTCACCCGACCGGGTATACTGAGATTTTGGCCTGGTAAACCCACTGGAACGATTACCCGACCGGGTATCGAAGGTTACCCGACCGGGCAGAATGAAAATTTTCACCCGCAAGCTTCTGGAACGGATACCCGACCGGGTACAACAGGTTACCCGACCGGGTATACCAAATTTCCATACCCGCTGGCTTCTGGATTGGATACCCGACCGGGTACAAAGGTGTACCCGACCGGGTATTGCTGTATATTGTAAATTACGGACTTTTTCGGGGCCTACAGTTCAATTTAGGTAGGCAAGGTACCTTACATGACTTATAATTGTAGGAACGTTAAAGATTAATGGAAGGGATGCGAGGATCCTTATCGATACGGGAGCACAACGTTCATTCGTTAGTGAGGTGTTTGCCGTGGGGTTAGGCACACCTTTAATACCAATGATGCAAACCCTTTTGGTATCTACGCCTCTAGGGGATGACGTTGAACGAAATGACTACTATCCTTCATGTGATGTGGAGATAGGGGAGCACTGTCTAAAGGGTGACTTCGTACCGTTAGCCATGCTTGAGTTTGATGCCATACTTGGCATGGACTGGCTTGAAAAGCACCATGCAAAAGTGGATTGCTACACTAAGGTGTTAGAACTCAAGGATGGTGAGGGAAATACTCTATGTTTCAAGGGAGATAGAGAAAGATTCAATCCTTGCATCATATCGGCCATAAGAGCAAAGTGTATGATGGGGAAGGGATGTCCCGCTTACTTAGCCTATGTCATAGGCAAGGAAGGCAAGGGGAAGAGTCTCACAGAAGTGAGGGTGGTGAGAGAGTATCCGGAGGTGTTTCCTGAAGAGCTACCGGGACTCCCACCCGATCGGGAGATTGAGTTCGAGATCGAGGTTGAACCAGGCACCAAACCCATCTCAATTCCTCCGTACCGAATGGCACCGGCTGAACTTCAAGAGTTGAAAGTTCAATTGGAAGAGCTACTAGATAACGGATTCATTAGACCGAGTCATTCGCCATGGGGAGCACCCGTACTCTTTGTAAAGAAGAAGGATGGTACAATGAGAATGTGTATCGACTACCGTCAATTGAACAAGGTCACGGTAAAGAACAAATACCCTTTGCCAAGGATTGACGACTTGTTTGATCAATTACGAGGGGCAACCGTGTTCTCCAAGATCGACTTGAGGTCGGGCTACCATCAACTGAAGATCAAGGAGAGTGACATACCCAAGAGTGCATTCCGTACAAGGTATGGTCACTACGAGTTCCTAGTGATGTCGTTTGGGCTTACAAATGCCCCCGCGGCGTTCATGGACCTCATGAACCGAGTATTTCATCAATACTTGGACCAATTCGTCATAGTGTTCATTGATGACATTTTGATATACTCCAAGAACGAAGAGGAACACGAGAAACATCTAAGGCTCGTGCTTGAAACACTGCGGGAGAAGCAACTCTTTGCCAAATTCTCTAAATGTGAATTTTGGCTTGGGGAGATCGGATTTCTCGGGCATGTGGTATCGGGCTCGGGCATTTCAGTTGATAACTCAAAGATTGAAGCAGTCACTAATTGGGAGAGGCCCAAGAATGTGAAGGAGATAAGGAGTTTCCTTGGTCTAGCGGGGTATTACCGCAAATTCGTGGAGAAGTTCTCTGTGATCGCATCTCCACTCACGAAGCTCACTAAAAAGGGAGCTAAGTTTGTGTGGGATGACAAGTGTGAGAAGGGGTTTCTTGAGCTAAAGAAACGGTTGACCGAAGCGCCAGTGCTTGCTCTACCCGTACAGGGGTTAGGGTATGACATTTATAGCGATGCTAGCATCCAGGGGCTTGGGTGCGTGCTGATGCAATCAGGTAAGGTAATTGCTTATGCTTCTCGGCAATTGAGGAAGCATGAAGTGAATTACCCCACTCATGACCTTGAGCTAGGAGCGGTGGTGTTTGCTTTGAAGATTTGGAGGCATTACCTCTACGGTGAGGTGTGTCACATCTATACTGATCACAAGAGTTTGAAGTACGTGTTCACTCAGAAAGAGTTGAACATGAGGCAAAGAAGATGGATGGAGTTAATCAAGGATTACAACTTGATTATTGATTACCATCCGGGTAAGGCTAACGTGGTTGCTGATGCTCTCAGTAGGAAAAGCTCATCAGGGGTTTTACTCACATGCTTACGAGCATTGAGGGCGCACGTGGAAGTATCCACGAATGGGGCTTTATTGGCCAGATTTGAGGTGAGACCCACCTTATTAGATGAAATCAGGACGCGTCAAGGCAATGATGAGGAAATTCAGAAAATCCGGGAACGAATGCTGGTGGGACCCGTCGAGGGTTTCCGGGAGAGAGAGGATGGACTCTTACTGTTCAAGGAACGGGTGTGTGTGCCATCAGATGGGGAGCTCCGTAAATCTATCCTTGAGGAGGCCCACTCATCTGCGTATGCCATGCACCCAGGTGGTACAAAGATGTATCGGGACTTGAAAGAAAGTTACTGGTGGTCGGGGATGAAGAGAGAGATTGCAGAATTTGTGAGCCGCTGTCTTACCTGTCAGCAGGTTAAGGCGGAGCACCAGCACCCAGCGGGGTTATTACAGCCACTTACCATCCCAGAATGGAAGTGGGAGCATGTTACTATGGACTTCGTGGTGGGTCTACCACGCACGGTTAGGAACTATGATGCAGTGTGGGTGGTGGTTGATAGGTTAACCAAGAGTGCTCATTTCCTTCCTATCAACACTACTTATACGCTTGAACGACTGGCCAAGTTGTACACAGATGAGATTGTGAGACTGCATGGGGTTCCAGTTACGATAGTATCGGATAGAGACCCACGGTTCACATCACGGTTTTGGCCTAAGTTCCAGGAATCCATGGGAACAAAGTTGAGGTTTAGCACGGCATTCCATCCTCAAACAGATGGGCAATCTGAACGGGTGATTCAGATTTTGGAGGACATGTTGAGGGCATGTGCCTTGGAGTTCCAAGGAAGTTGGGACAACCAGTTGGCCTTGGTGGAGTTTGCTTATAACAACAGTTATCAAGCAAGTATAGGCATGCCTCCATACGAGGCATTGTATGGGAGGAAATGTCGGACACCTTTGTGTTGGGATGAGGTAGGTGAGGCTAAGCTTGAGGGCATCGAGCTAGTCGAAATCACCAAGGAGAAGGTGAGGGTTATCCAGGATAGGCTCAAGGCTGCCCAAGATCGGCAGAAGAGTTATGCAGATAAACGTCGGAGGACGTTAGAGTTCGAGGTCGGCGATGAGGTATTTCTGAGGGTGTCGCCTTGGAAAGGGATCATCAGGTTCCTCAGTCGAGGTAAGCTTAACCCACGCTACATAGGCCCATTCAAAATCATTGAAAGGATCGGGGTTGTAGCGTACCGGCTTCAGTTAACTCCAGAATTAGAAAAGATTCATAACGTATTTCATGTTTCTATGCTCAAGAAGTATGTACGGGACCCGTCACATATTCTGGAGAAACCACCGGTGGAAATCCGGGAAGACCTTCACTATGCGGTGCAGCCGGTAAAGATCATGGACCGACAGATAAAGAAGCTAAGGAGTAAAGAGGTACCGATGGTGAAGGTACTTTGGAAGAGTGATCGTGTCGAGGAGCAAACTTGGGAAGTGGAGACCCTGATGAGGGAACAATATCCATTTCTGTTTGACTAGACACGTGGATTTCAGGGACGAAATCCCAAATAAGGGGGGTAGAACTTGTAACACCGCCCCCAAGTATTTGTACTTTATCAAATTATGTATTGAACCCAAGAAATGAATAAACGCATTTTACGTGATTGTGAAATTTTATCAATTCTTTTACGTGAATAGTAAAATTCACGTGGGGCCCACACCGGGAGCGGGGGCCGCCCGATATTATCGGGACCACATATTATATTCATTTGGGTCAAGATAATATGTGTATAATGGTGGATATCCTTGCTGGGCCATAGAAGTTATGTGAGTAACCTTTTTGGCAAATAAAGCCCATTTATCGGTACCGGTGTACTGACAGATAAAAGCCATAATAAATTATGGATACCGCTAAATTAAAAGTTGGGGGATGTACACTCATTCTTACATCCAATAATAATTGGAAGAATGATAGATATTTCATTTTACCCGATAAAATGAAACATAGTTAAAACAGTCCGGAAAATACAACTTTCGGGACCGAGTGTACACTCGGGGACACAAAGGGATGACCACCCATCTAAGTGGGGGCCATCCCCACGTTTTAGTCTTGCAAATGCCCATGGGAGCCGCACAAGGACATGGAGAAACAAGGAGGAAAATTGATTGAGAGCTCAATCAATTGGAAGGTGGGACCCTTGCCATAGTATTATTGTGAGAGATGCCAAAATGGCATTCTCAATCACACCAACTAATCCCATTCGTATCCAGCATCAACCAAGTGAGAGAAGCTCATCAAAATCTCCATTTTCATCCACCATATTCGAACCAAAGCTTAAGGAGAAGAAGGAGGGGGAAGAAAAGAGAAAGAAGGAGGAAAACTTGAGGATTAACAAGGTAATAACTCCATTAATCTCATCCCTGTTCATTAACCTTCCAATATGATTATATGATCATATTTCACACCCCTAGGAACATTCTACATGTTATATGGGAAGAATGAAGGGTTGGAAGGTTGGTTCATATCCAAAACGGATTTAGAGAACAAAGTTGACCGGTTCGTCGGAAAATAACCTTTTAGAGGTTATTTGTGTTGATATGGGTTTTATGATGATAAAACCTTGTTGTTAACTTGTATAAGGTACTTCAAGGACTTTCACGGAGTTGAAAGGGTCGCCGGAGTGTCGCCGGAGTTCGTTGAAGTTCACCGGAGTTTCACCGGAGCTCAATAAGAAAGGCTAGAACTTCATAAGCTTCTTTTGAGGTGAGAAGACGGCTATATGCCTTATAACTTTTGATTGAGGCATGAGATTACCTAAAGTAATCAAGGATATGTTTTACGGAATGATTAAAGTTAATCAAGTATGAGCTTATGTCATGAATATATAACAAACAAAGTTGAAAGGCATGTTTGTATGTTTGGTGATTACAAATGTGATAACTTATTATGTACAATGATCCAGGGGTCAAAAATGGTATTTTTGGATCAAGGACTTCAAGTAGAATGTGCATATAAAATTTCACGTTAATCGGACTTCGTTTGGGCGGTCAAACGGGCGTTGACCGCCGAGACAAGGGTGATACCCGACCGGGTAAGATGGATACCCGACCGGGTATTGATTAAAAATGGCTCCAGAAGCCACTGCCACACTAGACCCGACCGGGTAAGGTCATGGACCCGACCGGGTCTCAAGTAAAGTTGTTTCCAGGGGCTTCTGACCCGTCCTACCCGACCGGGTAAGGTGGATACCCGACCGGGTATTGGTTTATACTCAAAACGGGTAGCTTTTGAGTAGGATAACGTGGACCGATCAGGTGGGACCCGTCCACGTTGGTTACTAAGGATTATTATATGACTATAGGACTAGGTATTGTCCATAGTTAAGTGAATGAAAGGTTAGCCATATCCAGGTTAGGGTTTGGTTAGAAATAAGGGTGAGGTTGAGCATCCTCGGGACGGTAAATGATCCCAAAACTCGGAGAGGTTGAGTATCCTCAGGACGGTAAACAATCCTAAAACTCGGTGAGGTTGAGTATCCTCAGGACGGTAAACAATCCTAAAACTCGGTGAGGTTGAGTATCCTCAGGACGATAAACAATCCTAAAACTCGGTGAGGTTGAGTATCCTCAGGACGGTAAACAATCCTAAAACTCGGTTGAGGTTGAGTATCCTCGGGACGGTAAATGATCCCAAAACTCGGTTGGGGTTGAGTATCCCCGGGACGGTAAACCCTCCTGAAACTCGGTAGGATATTATGAAGGTAGAATGTAGCTCTCAAGCTAGGCATTCAGGAATGGAAAGGAGATAGGTTGGGAAAGTACCTTATCTCTAAAAGACTCTTTGTGATAAAACGACCTACGGGTCAAGTATTTTACAAGTATATATACATTATGTATTATCTTGGGAATGGGGTAACAATGGTTACACCTATAAGCATATGTATCACCCTATTTTTGGGTCTCGTGTCTGAAACATTAGTTATTCCTCATATAGCCTGCTTGTCACTAGTACTTCTATGGAGTACTGACCCCTTCGGGGGCCCTCACATTTTTCAGGTTGAGGCTAGAGTCCTACTACCTGCACCTTCGCCAAGGGTGATTGATCAAAGAGGAAGACGTGGTTCGTGCTTCCATTCTTATTCAAAGTTTATAAACTGCTCATGGATGTTTTTAACAATGTTTTCCATTAAAACATTTGAGGGGCCTGCGTGTCCGTATTTGCCACGTGTGGCTAAGTATCAAACATATCTTATTTTCCGCATTCGTTGACTAATATATATTGATGTTGATTGTATGGGTTTACTAATCGGTTTGGCAATAGAACTCAACGGACGCCTTGTATGATTCAATAAGAATGAACTACGTTGTTCTTATTGGGTTGTACGGCGGTTGTCTACGTGGCACGGATGCGGTCCGGGGCGTGACATATGTTGTCCATCGATTTAAACATATTCTGGTTTCAATCACGAAATTAAAATACTCTAATTGTATTTATGTTGCCAGAAAATACAAATATTTAACAAATAATCCTTTAAAATATGTAGTTTCTTAATGGATCCTTTATGTCTTTTGCCAAGGCTAAAACGGGAATCTTATCCTACATGTGGTGGAATGTTTGGTCTTACTCTGAAGCTGAAAGTCTTAAAACACGATTTAAGGATCTGGAATAAAGGAGTGTTTGGAGATGTATACAGCTCGGTGAGGAGGAGGCTTTAGCAGCAGAAAAAGACTTGAAGAAATATTCTGAGCTTTAACTTCTTTTTTACGAACTGACATTCTGAGCTTTATCAACTGGAGGAGACCTGTAATCATGAAGGTATATTAAAATACACTTGAGTTAATTACGGAGGACGACAACAACCAATTAAAACCACAGTGATGCATACTTTTTTATGTACATTTCAAATAGATTTTTTAAACAAATGAGTTGTGTGAAGAATTATATCTCATTAGACATTAAGCTAATCGCGCAACGTGCGTAGAAAAACTAGTATTATAATAAAGGGGGGGTCATGTTCACCCTTTAAGTGGGAGGTGAACAAATTCAAACTCATTGAATTCTGTCCAACAAAAAAATGTGTATTACGACAGTCTAAACTCGATAAAGATTCTAATTCTAAATAGTATTTGAATAATTCCAAAATTCACTTACTCATTATTGGACCTTTAGGTTTCATATTAGATGCACATACACACTTTAAAGGATGTGAAAGTGTAATTATAAAAAACTTATCAATGTATTAATTGATATTGTAGTTCATAAACTATAATTTAAATTCCAAAAATAGGACTAAGGAGTTGTTCCATGTAAAAGTATCCAAAATATTCTTTGTCTTTTACTCAAGGTAAAGTCATGTTACTAACCATATTCTAATGGTGCTCCATTCTGGTGACGATAGATCAAAAGACGAGACCTTGAATTTAATATACAAAGAAGTTTTCCATAACTTATAATTTTCACATGTATTCAATGCAAATCACTTACATCGTACCATCGTAGTAATTTATCAACTGAATAGTTATTAGTGTTGATTTTTAATTATAATTCAGTATTTCACTTTTATAACAACCATGCATATGTAAGATTTACAAGTTTTATCCTCTAATTTCGAATTTGCCATAATCGTCATCTTCCCCTTTGGCCGGCCGCCACTACCGGCGATCTGGAAGGCTTTTGAAGCCTTAGGCTTTTCTCAACCTTACTCTGTCGGTCTACTCCACTTGAAAATATTATATGGATAAACTTCAAATTAGATCTTGACTTCCATTGATTCTGGGAAGAAGCACTTGGGATTTCTTTGGTTTCACAATGGTTGTCACCAGGTGGACACCATCGTTCTCTGTTGACCGTGACTCTCCATTAGCTCCTAGCCTCCTATCTGGGTTGCCCTTGAAGGGCTCCCAGTGCATCTTCATGCCAAGGCAGACTATTGTGAACCCTCTTTGGCTGCTAATCCTATAGTTTCTACAAACTGTAGTGATATCTAGGTTAACCTCGTCCCTCCCGAAGTCCCAGCTAATAAACAACCTAATGGTTGTGCTGATATTAAACTCTATGCCCCTGTGCTTGCTGCTCTCAGTGCCTATTCTGATTCTATCTTATCAGTTGATGAAGCTGGAAATATACATTGTGATGGTTTTGATAATGCCACTGCAAAAGAATCTGGTCCATCACCTAATCTTTTTGCCATGGCTAACTGTGAAGTTCAGGCATCTCTTGAACACGATTTTACTTATTTGGGTGTGGCTGCCTCAGTTTCTAACAGTGTTGTGGCTGCCCGAATCAGTACTGAAATTTTTAACCATGGTGCTACTGCAACCCCAAGTTCAACCCCTATTGATGCCTCTAATGATTGTGCAGTCCAGGTTCCTGTATTTTGTGATGCCTTTCCTAATGCTGCAACTGAAGGTACTCTCAGATGGCTATGATGATCACCAGAGGCCACATACAAATGTTGCACTCCTGATAGAAAAAATAATAATGCCCTAACTGCTACAAACAGAAATGGTACGCGAACAGATGAGCCGTCAGTGGCCACATGTAACAAGGCGGTAACCGCCGAAGATGCTCACCTTGTGGTTACCTTTGACTGTCTGTCCCAAACTGGATATGATTAGATTCCCTTTTATCCAAAACCTGCAGATGCTACACTGGTCACACAAATGTCCCATGATGAAATCGCTTCTGAGGACGAACATACTACTTCTTTTTATGTTTCAGGTGAGCAAGATCCTCAAGATGTTGATGAAGAGCTCCTTGACGGGTGCACGCAGGTAAAAGGAAGAAAATACAAAAAGAACTCGATAGATCCAAACAACGATGAACAAGAAGATAAACAACTTTACTACGAGGTGGGATACAGCTCTCATCTGATGATCACCAGAAGCAACTCCAAAAACCTCAAAATGAAACAAATTACTTTCTCTACCCAGTCGACGAGAGGTTTGATTCACCGCATAAACTGGCAGCAGCTCTTCATCGTTTTAGGTTATCTCATCCGGAGGAACAAACATTCAGGCCATATCTTAAGAAGCAACCAGGTTTCACAACAAATTTAACAGAGCTATTTCAGCTTCAATTGGGATCACCTAAAAAAATTCAATTGTTGATGTAATTTTTATGTTTTTGTCTTTTATCTTGTTCTTTCGGTTTCATCAAATCTATTCTCAAATCTCTTGTATTCAAAACTTTATTTCAATAAATTAGGGAGGTGATCCCCGGCAGCCCCGCCACCTTGTGTGGTTTAAACCGAAAAAAAACCTATTGTGATAAATTACTCGCCATGCATCGCACGGGTGTAATACTACTTACTATTTAAAAATTAGGAATTAAGAATGGGAAAAATAATTAAAATACCCCAATCTTTGAAGGGGTGTGAGGTAAACACTCCAAACTTGCATATACGTAGTATTATTTAAATACTCCAAACTTTATATAAAATATTATTTTAGCATCATGGTCATGTATTATTTCTTTCATTTTAAATACATAGTGTTAGCCTCCAATCTATATAATTGCAACATTTTCAGTTTGCTATTTTAAATTATGTAACTAACATCATAACTTTTTAAATAATACATGCTCATGATATTAAAATAACTTTTTATTTAAAGTTTGAGGTATTTAAATTACATATAAAAGTTTGGGGTGTTTATCTCACACCCCTCAAAATTTGTGGTATTTTAATTATTTTTCACAATTAAGAATAGGTGTCACTAAAAAGTTATTTTAAAATGATAAAAAAAAAGTTAATTTAAGAACAAATATTGAAAAACCATACTCCTTACGGCCTGTTTGGATTGAGTGTTGATGAGTGTTAGTAATGGAAGTGTTAGTAAGTGTTGATGCTAACACTTGTTTGGGAGAAAAAACCAGAGGTGTTAAGAAGTGTTAGTAATGGTTAGGAAGTGTTAATAATAACCTTCCCAACACCTCAATTGTCCATTTTTTTAACACTCCGATTTGGAGTGTTTTGAGGTGTCGGACAATTATTACCCTTCTCATTTGCCCGAAAAACATAAAATGCTTCGACATTTCACTTCGAATGTCTTTCCCACGGGTCTGATGGTTTGTTTTTTCATCTCTTCTCTTTACTCGTTTCTTTTGCCTCAAGGTAAAATTATTAACACTTCCATTATTAACACTTCATTCATTTGACTCTCCCAAACAAGATAAAATTATGTCTAACACTTACACTCCCCTTCCCTTCCGAGCCCTTACTAACACTTACTAACACTTCCAATACTAACACTTCCCAACACTCCGTCCAAACAGGCCCTTAATCCCTATCAGGTGCCCACATCTAATCGTAGGATTCGTAGCTTCAGTTGCAGCAATGGAGCATTCAGTCTGTCATTGCCGACTTCTATACTCTCCCTCTCCGCCATCATTTCTCCCCTCTCGCCTCCTACCTACAAAGCTTACTTTCCTGAAAACTCAGATCATCAATCCAATAAATCCATTGCATAAACGGCAACTGGGGTTCGCACGTCTCCAAAGTTTCTCGGCTTCGCTAATGGACTCTAACAGTCCTCTTCATTCACTTGAGAATGTCCCACCCTCAGCATCTTCCACATTCACAACCGGTAAAAGCACTTCCTTTTACAGATTTCTATTTCGATATCTGATTGGCGTAACTTATGCCCAATCTTCGGGTTCCTTAGGTCGAATTGGAGAAGTGAACAGGGTAACGAAAGAGACTAACGTGTTTGTGAAGATAAATTTGGACGGAACGGGTGTGGCTGAAAACTGCACTGGAATTCCATTTCTTGACCATATGTTGGATGTGAGTCTTTCTATTGGTTGTTTGCTCTTTTTCATGTTCAAAAATTTTAAATTTAATTTGAAAAAAGTTCACTTTTCTGGGAGTCTTGCTCAAGCTCTCAATGGGTGCTTGATTATTTATTGGTTCGTAGTTTGTCTGGTTATTTTTGTTTATTTCATATCATAATAGAATGTAACAAGCACACAAAGTTTTTTGGTCTTTTGGTTGATTGTTCTTTATCCTCAAAGCTTGAACTTGTGTCTAGGAATGACATCTCTCATTGTGAAGAGAATTGCTCATTGTGCAAAGAAAAAGGGAAATACCAATATGCAGCATACTATCAAAATGACTTGCTTCGGTTAACTAGAGTTTGTAGTTCTTTTGAAATTAGGCGCGCCTTTTCACAATCTTCATCTAATAACATTGGGCGTCTCAAGTCCCTTAACTTTTTTGGTACACATGTTTTTTAAGTATGAGGGGTATCTCAAGTCCCTAATACTTATAAAACTTATTGGCATTTTTATCATTCTTTTTTGGCTAAAGGGTCAAATAGGTACATGAACTAACTTAAAGTGTTCAATTAGCCCCTTATATAGGAGGTTCTGCCCGGCCATCGCCAATTGGAGTGGTTCCCGGTGGAATTTTTTGATGAAATTTTTTGAGAATCCTCTTCATTAAGTCTAGTTTACCCATACCAAATTTCAGCTAAAAATTCAATCGGGAAAGCAGTCAAATGATTTTTTGAAGATAACTGTGTAGTTAAACAGCGCAATACATTTCGGAAAATCATTTGACTACCTTCTCGGTTGAAGTTTTAGTTGAAATTTGGTATGGTTAAACTAGACTTAATGAAGAAGATGCTCAAAAAAATTCATCAAAAAATTCAACCGGGAACCTCCCCAATTGGCGATGGTCAGGCTGAACCTCCTATATAAGGGGCTAATTGAACACTTTAAGTTAGTTCATGTACCTATTTGACCCTTTAGCCTTCTTTTTTAGTCAATTTCAATATCACTCTCAAGAATATTCATTGATATTTCTAGAAAATTGAAATACTGATTTTTTCAACCTCGCTTGGGTCTACTGGTGTAGTTGCTTTGTAGGGGATCAAAATGGTTTATATCATCAAGAATGCTCATTACTGCACTATTTCATTTTTGTATTTCAATTGTACTGCGATTTTAGTTGTGGTGTGGATTCTTGCTGTTTATAGCAACTTGCATCACATGGGTTGTTGGACATGCATGTGAAGGCCAAGGGGGACATTCACATAGATGATCATCACACAAATGAAGACATTGGGTTGGCTATTGGAACAGTAATATGTCTGCACGGATTTGCTCTATTCACATATATTCATACTTCATTATAAAAAGCTTACCTTTATATGCTTCTATTTGTTAAAATCCAGGCTTTGTTGGATGCACTTGGAGATAGAAAAGGAATTAACCGGTTTGGTGACTTCTCAGCTCCTCTGGATGAATCATTGATACATGTTGCATTGGTACATCTAAATATATAATGGTCATAAAACATCTATATGAACCAGAGATGCTATATCATTTTAATTTGATGAATAACATGGAGTAGCTTTTTATGTGTTCTGTTTTACTTATTGTTATATTTCAATGCAGGATTTATCTGGACGACCACATTTAAGTTATGATTTACAAATACCTACCCAGAGAGTGGGAACATATGATACTCAGGTTAGTCAGGTAGCTTATATAGCATTTGTTTGCTGAGTTGAATACGGCCATTAAAAATAGTTTTTATGTTTGGTTTCACCTTGTAAATATAAAAGAAGAATTGAAATTATTAGAATTCAATACTACACATTTTACTTGTACTTTCATTTTTGTCTTAATGTAGTACAAATACGTGCCTCGTAATATATGTCCATTGATTTATTGAGCTCCTCCTCCAGATTTTCCCTCTATTATTCTTTCTATTATCTTTACCGGGCAGCTATTGGGTTCCAATAGTACCCTAATAAATGGATACAACATGGGTTACTAACTTGAATATGGGATTTCCTAGCTCGTAGAACACTTCTTCCAGTCCGTGGTCAACACTTCTGGAATGACACTTCATATACGACAGGTAGTTGAATGCATTTGCTTGAGATCCTTTTAGGTTCTGCTGCATTTTGAATTTTGTTTCGATTTATAGTGTTTGATAAGTTACATTTAATTGGAAGCAGCTAGCTGGAAAAAATTCTCATCACATAATTGAAGCCACCTTTAAGGCTTTTGCAAGAGCCCTTAGACAAGCAACCGAGTATGACTTGCGTCGTCATGGAAGTATACCGAGGTTCTTCTCATTCTCTTTTCCCTTATACTACGTATAATAATATTTTTAACTTTTAAAGTCTATTGAGATTACTGTTTTTAAAATTAAGATTTTATTGAAGTGAAAATACCAAGTGGTCCGGACTCCAGAGTAATGGCGTTGCAAAAGTGATCTTTCAAATAAGCCGCCCTTAAAGTATGTTTTTTCACCGTGAAACTATATTTTCCTACTTTCCTGTCAAATTACGTTTCTTTTTTAAGTAAAAGTACTTTTCATCTTCTAAAAGGCCTCATTCAGTGAGTCATCCTAAATGCGCTTTAAGCTAGTTATGGTTTCGCTTCTAATTGGACTTCCTTCTGGACTGTAGCTGGTGATTAGTACAGTTCCCTTTGGTAAAAGTGCTTCCAATTAGATATTCTTTACATAACAAAGGATGCCTATCTCTGGTTATTTTATGGTTATCATTATTGATATTCATTCATTAGTTGTTTCTCACTATGCAGCTCAAAGGGGGTTCTTTCACGTGCTTAAAGTGTTGAAATTTGATGGAATGTGGATGCCCTAGACTACCTCAGGTAACTTTACTACATTTTCTAGTCAAAATTGTTGTTTACTACTACGTATTTTATTATGTGATTTTTGTTCTAATTGGGAGGAACCAAATGTTGTGTTTTGCAGTAGTTATCAAAGGACTACCATTGTTATAGAAGAATATGATGGTGTTGCTGTATGCCATCCTTTTCAACAACTGATAGATGCCACTGTAGTTTTTTTAGAAGTTAGAACATCAGAGCCATGTGATGTAATTTGCCAAGATGATAATCATTGTATAATGAGAAATTCTTAGTTTTTTCCCAATAAAGTAATTTATGCCCCTTTAACAACCTCCCATTGCCATTTTAGTTGAGTTCGCTATGATCTACTTGCTACTTTGGTGTTGTATTTGCTGCTGAGGCTCTGTTTGGTAACTAATAGGTGATTTTTTCGTGTTTCAACAAAATGTGTATTTGACTTATTTGCTAAAATTGGTTTCACCATTTTTTATGACACCGATTTTTGTTCAAATAATACCCTTTTTGAAGATTGATATAACATCTTTCCTTGTTACGCAGTATCACAACTCCACAAGCTACGAGATTTCCAGAAGTACCTAGCGATGCTTCCAATTCAGGGCATATAAATTATAAACTAATGGGTCATTTATTCGTTTGGTTAAAATTTTACAACCTCATTACCAAATGCTAAACATAGTTGTGGTCACAATAATTTATTTATAGCATAAAATGATGGGATAAAAATGTATATACAATGTAATTATACTGCGTAGAACATCTATGCCCTTCAATTTGTTTTTAGAACAATTAAAACAAAATTTGTAAAATTGGAACAAATGTATCCATGGGCATTCAAGGACCACTTCACAACTCAGCACATAACAAGACTAATCTCAAATTGACCCATAGATTGTCATCCATCATGTAACTCAAGATGGGGGTTGTCACCCCATTCCTGAAACTTGTTTTGCTATCGTGTATACAGCAATGGGGTGAGAAAACGTACGTCTTCCAGTGGATTGCTTGTGCATTAACAGATTCTCTGCTGTTTCTTTTTACAAATCATCCTCTGCTTTGATGAGATCATTTAGAATCTCAACTTTAACATGCTCAGGAAGTGGTGCAGATGGGCCTGCCTCTGAGTAAAAGTTGGCTAATGCTCTTATTGCTCTCTCTAGCATCTCATATGATTCCTGCAGTTTCAACAGGTTATATTGCAAAAGGATCAAGCATGTTGATTTGACCTACAAATACACATACCTTTAAATGTCTAAGGATCTAAAATTTTACCTCATTAACCACAGTTTTATCTCCTCTCCACCCACCCAAGTACGCACGAATTGACTCCTTTGCTGCATCCGCTGTTCTCCTAAACTTGGCCATGTCATTGGGATCCTCCTCGAGTGATTCCCGCAATGTCTTAATCACTCCTCTCACTGATTTCAAGTAGTCCTTGGGTAAGAATTTCCCTGATTTAGTTTTCTCATTTGGTTCAAACAAGGACTTTAAGGCTCCAATAACGCCCTCATCATCTTGGGCTGCTTTTGATTTCTCTCCAGCCCAAGCTGGTAACAAACCAAATCTTCCATTAAATGAAACAAAAGGGATCATGCTACATCCTAGAAGAAACCTGCGACGAGATTGTTCTTCCCCGGCCAGCACATCATGATGACTTGATTTCAGTTTATCTGTTGCAACATGAAAAAATTGCATTTTCAAAATAATATTTAAAAACTTCAAAATGAAAATAAGATAACAAACAGCATTATAAGCTACAAAAGGAATAATTCTTGGGTCTGTTATAAGCATTATGAGCATTATAAGCATTATGAGCATTATAAGCATTATAAGCATTGAAAAAGGGTCTGGTTAACCATATGCATTATCTAACATTCATGAGAGAGAATGACTTTGGATGAGAGTATGACTTTGGAGAGGGCGAAGTGGAAGGAATACACGTGAAGAGTATTGATCTTTAGATTTTGTTTATCTTCCATTTTCTCTATCTGCGTACATCCGACCCCCCCCCCCCTACCCCACCGTAGGTGGGAGCCTTTGCGGCACTAGGGTAATGATGATGATGATGATAGTTTTGAACCCGGATATCATATGTCTATCGATCGACTCCAAACTCTTCGGAAATACGGCTTAGTAGTTGTGTAACTAAATCATCAATGAATACACTTGATGTTTAGCATTTGAACACCAAATATATAATCAAACAACCAATTAAGTAATTAAGTAATCATCCACTAAAAAATTCAATATTTATTTAAAATCACATAGAAAAATATAGGGAAAATTACTATTAGCCCCCCGAGGTTATGTCATAATTATTATTGCAACCTTACATTTTCATAATTCAATTGTTTACCCCCTGAGTTTTGGTCATTTTCACTATATGCACCCTCATGTTAATATTTGTTAAATTAAATTAAATATAACTCTTAAATTCAATGTAAGTTGCCTATAAATTAATTTCCAAAGTATAACATAATTTATTATCATAATTATAAGTCATTGTTGTTGATCGTTATTTTTCTACTTAGTTACTCGATCGTGGAATAACTATTAATGTGAGTAGGTAAGGGGAAGATTCACGAGTAATATTCACGGGATACATCAAAGAAAGTCATTAAAAAATGTGTTGTCAAAATTATAGGCACTTCATCATGAATATAAAAGTATTTGAAATTCATCTGGTTGAATTATTCTCAATGACCTTTCTTTCATGTGTAGCAAAGAAGCTAGAAATACCAAGAAAAAAGGAATTTCATCATGTCATGACCTAAAAGATAGGTCAAACATCAATAAGCGACCTAAAATATAGAATGTATCGGTATAGGAGCTAAATAATTGAAAGCTATTAATCCAAGACCTAAAATAACATGGATTTTGATTTATTTAAATATTTTATTTACTCTGTTACTAATTTGTGATGATTCTATCTTCACAATTTTTTTTACAGTAAAAAGTCTATTAGTTTATAAGATTGAATGATATTTAATTTTCTATAATCGAAATATCGAAATTCATGATATTTTATATCTTACGTAGTACTTGTGAGTATTTTCCCTTAACTACTCTCAATAATATTTATTCCACGATGGAGTAGCTAAGTAGAAAAATAATGATCAACAATAATGAATTATAAATATGAAAATAATTTGTGTTTTAATTTAAAAATTAATTTATAAACAATTTTCATTGAATATAAGAGTTATATTAAATTTGATTTAACAAATATTAACGTGAGGGGCAAAGAATGAGAATGATCCAAACTTAGGGGGTAACTAATTGATTTTTGAAAATGCAAGGTTGCCTTCATAATTATGACATAACCTCAGGTTGCCTTCATAGTTTAAAGATAGCCTTAAGAGATATGGTTTTCAGTTTTTTTTTTAAATCATGCAAGGACGGCATATATTATTTGAACAATTGATCCTTAATCTATCTATGCCTCCCAACTTAGTCAATGCTATTTGATCAAGAAATAGTTGACATAATTAAACTACTGAACAAAATAGTGCTCTCCCAAATTTTCTCATCAGTGTTAGATGAATATTTAAACATGTTTGCAAGAGATGTGAGATTTTTATCTTCCATAGTTTCTAGTTTTACATATTATTATACAAGCATTGGGTTTAACCATATATATAAGTTCGAGGAATTTTTTTATTGGTTTTGATTTCGGGAGAAAATCTAAGTCTCTTCATTTTTACAATAACTTTGTGTTTAATAGAGGTTACAATTTAAGACTAAGTAAATAGAGATCATGAGAAAAAGTTAATAAACTTTGATACTTCGTACTCCGTATAATTTAAGACTTTATATGACAGTGAAATAACAATGATAAACCATAAAAACTGTACATTTAAGAAGCATGAATAAACTGTACAAAAACTTAAGGCAACATTATGAGTTTATTGGAGATCCTTGATGATGTAGAAGATCTTTTTAGAGATTATGATTGAAGCGATGAGATTATTTAAAAAAAATTAGTATTGAATATCATATTCTTGATTATTCAAGATTATTCTCAACTTTCAATAAACACATTTAATGAAGTCATACTTTTTAATATGAAATGTCTAAAATACTTCCTTTTAAAAACAAAAAAAAATCATAATAGATTTTTTGTTTGGTTTTTTAATTCATAATAGACTAAGTAAATAGAGATCATGAGAAAAAGTTAATAAACTTTGATACTTCGTATAATTTAAGACTTTATATGACAGTGAAATAACAATGATAAACCATAAAAACTGTACATTTAAGAAGCATGAATAAAGTAGTGCTCCAAAATAAGACTAAGTTAATAAACTTTGATACTTCGTATAATTTAAGACTTTATATGACAGTGAAATAACAATGATAAACCATAAAAACTGTACATTTAAGAAGCATGAATAAACTGTACAAAAACTTAAGGCAACATTATGATCTCAGTATGAAACTGGCAGTATGGTTTCATAATGACAATACTTACTCCTATATAGGGAAACACGTAGTGCTCCTATCTAGGAATTTACTCCTATTTAGGCCAATTTCTAAATAACTATTTAACCTTTCCTGTAAATAGAATAAAGCTTAAACTAAGCTAATACTCCGTATATGAAAAGCTATCTCCTATTGAAAGCTCTAATCTTTTATTTGTTTCCACTAATCCACTTATTCTTTTTAGAAATTTAACCATCTCTGTTCATCTATTATCAATACCAGCAATGCCTGTCATGTCCTCTTTACATAAATCAGCTACTTAAAAACAAATTTACCAAACAATTCGAATATCAATTAAAGCTTTCAACTTTTAGCTATTTTGCTGCTGCTAAGAAGATTAGTGTGGAGCTAAAAGAAGAGTAATTACTTACAGTCAGTGACAACTTTACACCTATCAACAGAGCTGAAAACATTGACGGGGCACATCTTCATCTGAACAGGTAGGAAGAAAGCCATCCTTCGAGGGATCTCGGCTCATGCTATCCCACAAATCAAGGGAATGTTGTACCTATACACCAAGTCACCAAAACATAAAAATTTTCACTAGAGCAAAAAACATTTTTTAAGAACACTCTTAGGCTCCGTTTGGTGGCAAAGTGAGGTGAACAAGAAACTATTGAAAATTTTGGATGGAATGGATGTTAACATATGCCTTTCCTCTTGAAAAATAAGTCAAATGACTCTTACCTGACAGTCAATCGCACCCTCATTTTTCGTTTTAGCAGAGTTAGTATTATATACTATCCTCTGTTTCTTTTTAATCGCAACATGTTGAATTTTACACTATTCACGTGTTCTACTTTGACTACATTTTACGGTATTATTTTACGAAAATTATTTTAAAAAAAAAGATATTGTTCAATTCATCTCATTACAAATTTTCAAAATCTGATTTTTAATTATTTTTAACTAATAGAGATTAAGATATAATTACGATCAAAGATGTGCATTAGCATGACCGTTGCAACTAAAAAAGAACGGAGGAAGTATTTGTATTTGTATATGCAACTTGTATAATCATATTCTCTGTTTAGATAGGATATATCACAATAATTTGAGAACGTGGTAATGTACTAATGTTTAAACCCTACTAATTTAAGAAAATTAGGCAATTATGTACCCCATAATAGTGATAAACATTATGAGTGAGGATTTTTTTTAGCACAATCCCCACTTCCAAGTTCCACCTTTCTTGATAAACATTGATTAAAATACCAAGTATTAGATAGAGAAAACAAAATCAAAGAAGAATGAAAGAAAGATCATTCAATCTCCAAATCCTCCAATAAATAATCAATTAGGATTTTGGGTTGCAAGTAATGGACAGACTAAAGAACTGTTTTTTTGCTTCAAATTCAGTGATTATTGAAAGAGTGTAAAAACCCAATATCTAATACTCTGTAATTCGATGAACTTTGTTTGTTTTTTACATAAAATTGGACGAAGTCATGATCAATTTAAGAAGAAGAAGCTGGCTCACCTCGATCCGTTTCTTCTCGCTTCATCCAAGCTTCTGACCGAACGTTTTAATGGATTACACAGTATTGGGCCCGTCCATATGTTATCCATATTTTAAAAAAGAACGAGGGTATTTTAGACTTTATGAAAATAGGGTTTCTCCTGATAAAAACCCATTTTCGTTCCCAACCCATTAAAAACCTAGCAGACTCCCAGCGGCCCTTCGAGAGAGATAGACGGACAGGAGAGGGTAAAAGCAGCGCCGCAGCCATGGTTAGTTCGATGGCAATTTCCGGTGAACTGTGTTTAGTAGAACTCTATCACCAGCTCTTTGATGATTTCATTGATGTTTCTTTGTGATTTTGCAGAGTCTGGTAGCCAATGAAGATTTCCAGCACATTTTGCGTATCCTCAACACCAACGTTGATGGAAAGCAGAAGATTATGTTCGCTCTCACTTCCATCAAAGGTATCGGGCGCCGATTTGCCAACATCTGCTGCAAGAAAGCCGACATCGACATGAACAAGAGGTCCGTCTTTCTCACATCATTCAGCAATTTGAATCTTTATTTTGACGATGTTTTTTCAATCATCATTGTTTTCTAGTTTATTTATCCGCTAGGAAGTTACATTGTCGATCACAAACGTATTAATTTGTTTTTAAAATCGTAAAACAATATTTTTTTTTGAAAAATTGCATTCCTTCCTCCTAGTGATGGAATTCGGTTAGTTTTACGCGTTTATCTATTTTTAGTGCGGAGTAACTTTGGTGCATTAACTCATTGTATTCTTGTATTGAACCACAAAAGTTCACATTTTAATGGTCTTTAGCATCTTGATTTAGTTAGATGGGCCTAAGTGGTTTATTCCTTGCTCTTAATAGTTGGACTCATTGGTGTTGATTGCTTAAGGTTCATTACTTGGTTTAGCTATTCAAGTTTCTGAGTGTTTGCCTGAATGTATAAATCATATGTGGCTGACTGCAGGGCTGGAGAGCTGTCTTCTGCTGAGATTGAAAATCTGATGACTGTTGTTGCAAACCCCCGTCAGTTCAAGATCCCAGACTGGTTCCTTAACAGGCAGAAGGATTACAAGGATGGTAACTATTCACAGGTTGTATCCAATGCTTTGGATATGAAACTCAGGGATGATCTTGAGAGATTGAAGAAAATAAGGTAATAATTTCTTACCCCGATTATTTAAAATTGTTAAGAATTTAATGTTCTTATACTACGTATGCCTTGCTATAGTAAGGATTCTTACTATAGTAGTTCTATTTCGTTGTTTAAGGAACTTTGAAACTGCGGCTTCCAATGTGAGATTCTGCACATTGAACTTGTTATCTCAATTTTGTGAAATTGATGAGAAATGAAATTGGGATATTAACAGATAGATTGAGAGCAACTTTTATGGTCCATTTAACCCCAATGCTAAATGTTTCTTTCACTTTTTTTGTTCACTCGAATACCATATCAATTTTTCTTAAGTACAGTATATTTTAAATATTTTATTTTCATGATTTCTAATTGAGATTCAATGGGTAAAAAGATCTGAGATAGATTCTGTTCAATCCATTATTAGTTGTGTTATATTGTTGGACTGAACATATATAGATCATGTACAACTCATTTCTTTAGTCTATCTCTATTTTACCATTTTGCATTCACTGTCTTGCTGGTAAGGTCTTCCTACAGTATCTGACTTGCTCTTGATGTAAAATAATAATAGGAACCATCGTGGTCTGCGACACTACTGGGGTCTTCGTGTACGTGGACAGCACACTAAGACTACTGGTCGCAGGGGAAAGACTGTTGGTGTCTCCAAGAAGCGTTAAGAGATTTTGTTTTTACACCCCATCTGTTCTCATTAAATTATGTTCTGTTTATTTTTCAAATTTTGTTTAAATATACAATGAATGATGTGGTTTTAGCACTTGGAGTTCCTGTTTCCTAAGCATGTGAGCCTTTAGGGTTTTCAATCAAAGTCGACAGCCTTTTGCTTCCTCTATATTCTTAATTTACTGAACTGATGAGTTTTTAGTACTTCTATAATCATTTCTGTGCGTTTAATGCCTCCTTTAGTAATTTCGATTCTTTACCTTCAAATTTTGTTATCTTTTTTTCCTTGGGTTTTACACTTTTACTTTCTTATTCCTCTAACTATCAATCTTGTAGAATAATGGATCAGGCTGTAAACCTCAAGTCCTGAACTTGCCTTCATGGCTTCATCCCCTTCTTTTCTAAATTTAGAAATTGATCATCGAGTTTTTAACACTAATGTACAAATTTGATCATTACTTCATGACCAGAACTTTCTCATAAGTCATAAGCATCAACTTAACAACTTGCCTTAGCAGAAGTCACATCCATTTTGTTGTGGATAGCCATTGTAATATTGTATTGGACCTTGGGCTGGGTTTGAGAAATTGAAAATCAAATCAAAATAAATTGAATCGAGCAAAATAAAATTCAACCGCCAAAAATTTGAAATTAAATGTAGAAAGTTGAATTGAAATGTAGTTCATTGGCTCGGTTTTGGTTTTTGTCCTTTAAACCCGAAGCGAATTGAAATTTTATTTTTTAAATGTTAAGCATTAATTAATCATATCATAATAATATACTCGTAATATTATCAAAAGTTTTTTGTTTTCCTAGAAAATTAATTTTTGTGTTAGGTTTAATTTAGTTTGAAATGCATTTACGGTTTACACATTCATTATCTATAATATTGTAGTTATATTCATTATCTATAATATTGTAGTTATATTGATAATTGATGTCTTTTAAGTATGTATACTCGAATTTATTGCATTATGATGGATGTTTTTATTGCAATTTTAACTGGGTTTTTGTAGTAATGATGTTTTCATTCGCAGACCAGACTAGAGCAGAACAAACATAAATAGATCAAGATTTAAATAGATCAAACCACACATATTCTAAAAAACATATTTTAACCGCGTGTTTTATCTAGTGCTGGACTCAGGCCGGGCGGCCCGAACCGGAACCGGCCCGGCCCGGTTACTGTGTGAATCGGCCCGACCCGGTGGCCCGGTCCACCGGCGGTTCGGGTTGAACCGGCCCGGTGGATATCGGCTCCGGGCCCGGGCCCTCCATTTGGTGAACCGGCCCGGCCGGTTCGGGCCCGGTCCGGAATATTTTTTTTTTTGAATTTTTTTTGAATGTTTGGGTTGGATTAGGTATTTTGGGCCATTTGAGGTGGTTTGGGGTGGTTTGGGGTTGAGGGGGAGGGGTAGGGGTTAAATAAGAGAAGCCAAAAAATAAAAAAATAAAAATGGGGCGGGTGAACTGGCCCGGTCTGGCCCGGAACCGGTCACCGCCGGTTCGGGCCCGGGGCCTCCTTTTGGTGAACCGAGGCCCGGCCGGTTCAAGGCCCGAACCGGGCCCGGACCGAACCGAGTCCAGCCCTAGTTTTATCAAACCGGTGAAGGTTGTTGTATAGGTACATGTAGAGCTATTTAGGTGAAATTGAACACCACACTTCCCTTGGAATGAGTTGTTGAGAAGTTAGGTGATAGAGTATATGGGCCTAGATCCTGTGGCCCACATACTCAGAAGGTAAAAGCACAGGACTGTCACTCACGCCGCGTTCCATCGGCCAGAGACATAAATACTCGAATCGCGGCCCAGAGACCCCAGGATAAAATGGGTCCCGCGTCGGCCTGGCCATAGACTCCTATAAATAGCCCCGGGGATAGTTATAAGGGGATAGTTATAAGGGGTTTGAAAAATATATTAACTCCTATTGTAATGCTCCATTTTTTTGAGTAAAAACTGTATATGTCTTGCTGCAATTGATTTGGGTATGTTAGTACGTGATAGTAAAGACGAGGAGCAAAAAATGGAGCAAAATCTTTTACTTTAATATTAAAGATACGATGGATATGTCTAGGGGCAGGGGAAAATACCGAAATTTCGGTATACCGGACTTACCATATCAAAAAATACCAAATTTACCAAAGTGTTTGGTATACCGACACTTTTGATACAGTATGATACCGTACCGAATTACTTCGGCATGATATTGGTATATATTTTGGAAATAAACGGTATACCGTTATACCGTCATACCGTAATTCCAAGCCAATAATTTCTTTAAAATCATAAAAATAACTAGAAACACAACATTAATTCAAGAATAATGACTTTATATCCATGTTTCTTGAATTATTTAATACTTTTTGTTGGAGATCGATGTTATTTCAAATATATTTATGTTGTTTAAATTATTATTTTAGCAAAATGTGTTGTTATCTTCATATATCATGTGTTGAAGTATCCGTACATATTTATAATATTTTTTTGTTCAAAGTTGAATAGAACACAAATAGGTTATCATTGGCATTTTATAATTAATTTCATTAATAATTTTAGTATATCACTATTAACACTGATTTTCTATATTTCATTTGATATATAATAATTTGATATTAAATCATGATAATTTACCCATACCGTAGTTTACCGTACCGAAATTTTGGTATACCGAAACAAGGTATACCGAAATTTAGGTATGGTAACGGTATGTATTTTTGCATACCGAAAGTTTACGGTATGGTAAAGGTATGAGATAAAATCTTCGGTATACCGTACCGAACCACCCCTAGATATGTCAAGACGTCAAGTACTTAAATTTGAATGAGTACGAATAAAAATGTAATTTTTAATGTCATTATGAATACAAATCAATATATATATATAAAAGAGGAACTTTTTAAGAGCATACGGCGCGCCACGTAATCATGTCATGTCATCATATATAATTATTATTTAATTACTTTCTATATCTTTTATTTTCTTTACACTATTACGTTTTGTATACCATCTAATTTGGTAACTCTTATTTACATAAAATCTGATTTTATTTGGCACTTATAAATCTGATTTAGTAAACTTTTAGTAAACTTTTGTATATATATTTTTTAGTATTACGTTTCTATATTCTAATTTGGTAACTCTTACGGAGTATTTACATAAAATCTGATTTTATTATAGTAAAATTTTAGTAAACTTTTTGAATATATTGATTTTTTAGTATTTAGTATTACGTTTCTATA